TATTTTACGGAACTTTAAACAGCATATTTACGTCACCCATAAAACAGATTATATTTCAACAACATAGTTATAGTATTATTTAAGGAACTTGAAACAACATTGTTAAATTATTTACGTCCACCCATAAATTTTTTCTAAGTCGAAGGTAATTAATCCCGTGCCTTTTTTATTTGTTTGTTCAACTTTTTTTGACAAAACTGATGTCATGGATAAAATAATTAAATATTAAATATATTAATTAATAATATTAAATAATATGCTTTAGATAGATATAGAATGCGAATAATCATCTCATGCCAAACAACGCGATTTTAAAATTGACTCAGATCCAGCAATCCTATCCAATATTTTATTAAAATAAATATTAAATAAAATGCTTTAAATAGAAATTATATAAGGAATTAGATAAGGAATTTGAATCTAAATTTTTTTAGTATAGATAGATTTTAAGTTTAATTTTTGACTTCACCGGTTTTATGGGATTTGTTTTGACTAAATCGATGTTATTATGAAATAAGACAAATAAATAAAGCCTTTTTTATTTTAGTAAAAATTTTACGTACTTTTTTTTACTTATCGGATATTATGAGATTTATTTTCTTAAACCGATTTTATGGGATATAAGGCAATAAATAAAATAATTAAATAAAATTCTGGATAGAATTAATGATGCATTAATTACGTTGACTTTTCAATCTACTAAATTTGGTAAATAGGATACCTTATTATATAAGTATAGTTTAGAATTTTCCAAGGGTTTCCAACAAAAATCTTCCGTTAGAATGAGTTTTCCATTGAAATTTCACGATTCCAACTGTTAAAATATGGGCGAAAATAAAAATTCCAATAGAATTGTATATTCCAACGGTAAAAAACTGTTGGAATGATCAAATTCTATCAAAGTTCCAATGAAAAACCTCATTCCAATGAAATAATACCGTTAGAATCATTCCAATGGAAGCTATACCATTAGAATATCCGTTAGAATTTCTATTGAAATATATTACCGTAGGATTTTTCGTTGTAATATGACTTTTTTTTTGTAGTGAAAATAAGATAAATATGTTACTAGTCTAATATAATATGAACTAAAATAATTTTAACTCGTATGTATATAAATGTACCGAAAAACTAAGACCGTGCTAGAGCCCACGATGATTCAATCCCAATACCCAACAACTTATTGTCATGTCCCTCTCAGGTAAACATTTTTGTGTTGTATTTTTGTTGTTGGTTGTATTCCCTTTTTTTCCTTCTTTGTATCTTCATCGGTTATTAAAAACTCAGTTGAGTGATAAATGTTGTTACAATAAAATCATGGACATAAGATTTCATGGAAATAAGATTATGGATTTATTTGTTGAAGATACACAACTCTGTAGATTTCCTCTGTTGTGAAATTCTCTATAGAAATTTTTTATATGGCTTGATTGCAATCGAATTATGACTTCTTAGAAATTTGTCATTTTGTGCTACCAAACAACTAAACTAGTAGACAATCTTTGTTGAATCTTGCAATTCGAAACAGTTGATGACAGAAATCGTGTAGTTACCAATACAAACTTTTCGTTACACGCTCAAGTCGACTGTTAAGTTCAACTGTGATGCTTGTGGATTGTGGAATTCCTTGTCGTGCTGCTAAAAACGAGCAATGAAGTTGCAGAGAAAGAATTTGTAGGTTCTAGAACAATCCGGAAAGTCTTCTATCTCTTTTTTAAGTACAATATACATTCTACTAGATATGTTATTAACTTCATAGTTTTGGTATACTAAAACATATATTTTGCTTATTATGTTGGTTGTGCCGCCCTAACTTCAAATGTTTGTATGATGTTTTATGCATTTGTATGAAAGTGTTGGATGTTTTCTTGTTTTTTTTCTTTCATTTCGTCATATGATTCTTAGCTTGCTCCATATGTT